CACATCACAAACAAGGAAGGCACAAAGTGCGGAAAGAATATAGGGGAGCAAACATCGATTCTGACTGGAGAGATTCAGGACGTACGATAATATTCTAGGCAAAAGGGACAGCTGCCATGGTGGCAGGCAAGAATTCAGTAAATGATAGCTAGTACTGCTTTTCCAAGAAAATTAGTCTTAACCGAGAAAAGGTAACAGATGCCTCTATGCGATATTTGCGCATTGCTGAATTTTTGTTTTTTGGCTTTTTCTGAGACGGAGTTTCGTTCTTGTTGCCCAGGACGGAATGCAATAGCGCGAACTCGGCTCATTGCAACCTCTGCCTAACAGGTTCAAGCAACTCTCCTGCCTCAGCCTCCCAAGTAGCTAGTTACAGGCATGTGCCACCACGCCCAGCTAATTTTGTATTTTTAGTGGAGACGGGGTTCTCCATGTTGGTCAGGCTGGTCTCGAACTGCCAACCTCAGCTGATCCACCTGCCTCGGCCTCCCAAAGTGCTGGGATTACAGGCATGAGCCACCGTGCCCGTCATTGATTTTGAGGCAGTGTCTGGCTGGAGTGCAATGGTGTGAACTCGGCTCATTGCAATATCCCAGGTTCAAGTGATTCTCCTGCCTGCGATTACAGGCACCAGTCACCACACCTGGCTAATTTTTAGTAGAGATAGGAATTCACCATGTTGGCCAGGCTGGTCTTGAACTCCTGACTTCAAGTGATCTGCCTGCCTTGGCCTCCCAAAGTGTTGGTATTATAGGCGTAAGCCACCGTGGGCAACCCTGTTACAGGTTATGCTCATTCTTTGGCCAACAGTTACTGCTTATTCAGGAATCCATGACAATGTTCCCTGGATTTGTGTGATTGACTATACCCAACACAAAGACACCAAGTATAGTGACCTCATTTCTTAATCTTCCCTATATACCTAGGAAAGTGCTAATAAGCTTTCCTGGAATTCATCATTCCCTTATCTGTACACTTCACTGTACTTTGCTTCTAAATTCATATATGGTACATCAGAACTCGCCTTGCTGTATAACTATGAGTCCATGCTGGTCTTATCACTAGAACAGTGGTGTCCTAAAGGTATAGTATTGGCCATTTTAGGGTATGTGGAGGTTTTTCTTAATTGTCACAATGACTGGAAGGCATTACTGGCACTTAATGGGCAGAAGACAGGAAATTCAAGATGACATGCAATGCTGAGACTGTCCTGTATGTCAAAACACTGTCTCTAGTGGGAGCCAGGGCTCTCAGTATGGAAGATGGGAGATACAAATATGGACTGGAGCAAGGCAAGAAGAATCCCATGGGGATGAACTTGGGACTGGTATGAACTCATTATTTGCAAAATATATACAGTATGTGTACATGCATATGTGTACATGTATGTGTTTATCCGTATGTGCATTCATATTTTTCCCAAATCTGTACATTAAATGGGCCAAGAAGCAAATATTTCACAGTAGCAAAAGGACATCTAGCACCTAGATCTTGTTTTCTAATGCCATTCCTCACCAAAAGTAACCAGAGCTCCTTGGAGAAATGGTTGATTCCAGGGCAAGGCTAGAAAAGGTACAAAATGAGCCTGAAACACCTTGTTATATGAGAGAAAGTAAGTTATCAAAAAAGAAGGGAGTCGGGGGAAATGGAAGCCAGCTTGAAAGGGCTTCTATCAGCCAAGTATGGGATAATTAGACCACCAAAATAATTGAGGAGGGTAACGAATCATTCAAAAAACTCACAAATAGATGATTTAAACATAATGCATGATAATAAACAGATGAGAAAGAAATGAGAGAAAATGAAGGGTTCTTGTTTATAGTAGATACTACATGTTAGCTGGTAAATCTGGAGAAATTTTCAGAGTTGGAAAATCATTACTTTGCAGCCATCATAGTAAAGATTGATTCAGGCTAAAGCCATGAATAGATGCTAAATCTAAGAGCATACTTTTGATAAGCAACAGATATTTGCATTGTACCCATGAATATCCTATTAATCAAAAGGGAGAAAACCAGTCTGATTTCTACAGCAGAGAAATCAGACACAGTTGACTCACTGATCAAAGTTGATATGACCAGTGAAGGCATACAGTATCAGGTATGTCCACAAGCGATACCCTGGCAGGGGCACAACATCACTGAGAGTATTCTGGCTGGGGAAGCATCATGACAATGAGAAAATAGCTGAAAAATCCAAAAGAGGAATATTCTATTAAAAAAAAAAGAGAGAGAGACATTGAATTCTTTAAAAATATATATAGGACAATGTTGTAAGAAACAAAGAAAGGATAAGGAAAAATTTCAGATTAAAGAAGATTAAACAGACCTGACAACTAAATGTAATAGATTATCCTAGACAGCATCCTGTACTGGAGGAGAAAAAATGCTATCAGAGACATTATTGGGTCAATTTCCAAAATTGGGATATGAATAGTAAAGTATTATATTAATGTCAAAATTTCTGAAGTTGGTAACTGTGCTATGATTATATAACAGAATAGCCTTATCTCACGTAATGTACACTGAAGTATTCAGGATAAAGAGCTATACATACTATATGCAACAAATGCCCAAATGATTAAAGAAAGTATGTATACAGGGGGAAGAAGGAGAGAGAAAGCAAAAACAAATGAATCAAAATGGTAACAACAGGTGAACATGAGTAAAAGTAGTGCTATGCTTTGAATATTTGTCTCCACTGAAATTCATGTTGAAATTTAATCCCCAGTGTAACGGTATTGATAGGCCAGCAGATCACGAGGGCTCTGCCCTATGAATGAATTAATCCATTCATGGACTAACGGGTTAATGGATTATCATAGAAGTGGGACTGGTGGTTTTGTAAGAGGAAGAGACCTGAGCTAGCATGCTCAGTACCCTCGCCATGTGATGCCCTGAGCCACCTCAGGACTCTGTAGAGTCCTCACCAGCAGGAAGGCTCTCACCGGATGCCACCTCCCAACGTTGGCCCCCTCAGCCTCTCTAACTATACAAAATAAATTCCTTTTCTTAATAAATGATCTAGTTTCAGGTATTCTGTTATAAACAACAGAAAACACACAGGTATAGAGGAGTTGCTTGCAGTTTTTGTAAGTTTAAAATTATTTCCCACTAGGTACAGTGGCTCAAGCCTATAATCCCAGTACTCTGAGGGGGCGAAGGTGGGGAGGTCACCTGAGGCCAGGAGTTCAAGACCAGCCTGGCCAATAGGCAAAACTCCATCTCTATTAAAAATACAAAAATTAGCTGGGCATGGTGGCATGCGCCTGTAATCCTAGCTATTCGGAGGCAGAGGTAAGAGAATTGCTTGAACCCAGGAGGCGGAGGCTGCAGTGAACTGAGATCATGCCACTGCACTCTAGACTGGGTGACAGAGCAGCCTCTGTCTTAAAAAAAAAATTCTAAATAAAAAGATAAATTTGCCATGACATTTATGACATAACAGTCACACCACCAAAAAAACCTGTTTATAATTAATGGAACTCCATTTTTTCACATAAGCAAAGTATTCTTTTCTTATGGAAAATAAACTGAATTTTCCATAAATGCAACTCCATCTTGAGGGATGACAGACCTTTGAATGAATCAGAATTTTACTAAGAGTTGCTCATTTAAAAAATAAAATTATGTCATTAGGATACTGCTGGTATTTGAATTCACCAGTATACCACATCTGGACCCATCTAGATTTCTTCCCTGTCTACAGTGATTCCACATTTATATGCGATTTTTACCTACTTCATTGTTTCTTACTGTAGTTTTGCCTAGGCATTTGTTTACACACTGAAATACATAGTTTAAGTTACTTCTCTTTTGTTTTTCCTCTGTATCATGGTGAAGGAGTTATATTGATTTTTAAAACAGTAAGTATAGATAGACTATATTAACTATGAATTTAGTTTCAAGATGGTAGAGGAAGAGTATGATAAAGCATTTGTTACAAGAAGGCTACCTAGGGTCTCTTGTAGAGAGAATCAGACTGTAAGTTTCTCACAGAGAAGCTATGATTACTTATTTCAGATCTTCCACATCTTTGCTTTAGCTGGCCCATGCACATACACCCATTCCAGAGCTCACAACCAATTCTGCTTGTGTAGTCATGTCATCGGGAAAGAAAAGGATGAGATCTCTGAAAATCCCAATAAGGTGACCATTCAGACAGCAATGTCTCCTGCACTTATGGGAACAATTCATAAACACAGGGAACTTTATTCTTATGTGACATAAGCCCAAAAAAACAGTAAAAGAAACCTGGGGGAATATATTAGATCAGCAATGGAGTTGATCCAAAAATTACATCAGTCTCATAAAACTATCACCAATCTATTTACTTTATTAATGCTCCAATGATGTTATATAGACCAAAGAGCAGGCAGAACCAAAAGTCTAAAATATGTACATTTTAAAAAACTGCGCACTGAGTCAGTGATTTCTTTTAGGGCTTGGTATTCTATAAAAGAAAGGCTGTTGTCTGTGTAATATAACATAGGGAACGGGAGAAAAGAAAGATAATTACAAGCCCAAAGCCTGGGAAGTTGTTAATCAACTATCTTCCCTAAACAGCTTACATGAGACTGTAACATCGCTTTCAAACCCGTCACCTGGCAATGAAATAGAGAAGAGTCAAAAAGGGCTCTGAAGACCACAAGAGGAGTGAAGAAAATGAAGAGATTGATAATAAGTCAGAATGAAACATAAAATACGAAATTCTGTAAAACAGGCTGCATGAAAACCACATGATGAAAATGGACAAAAAACAAAACAAAAGAACTGTTTACATATTCTAAGGAGACTAATCATGGAGGCAAAAAATGAAATATTAGAAATAAACAGGATACAAATTTATTTGCCATGTATATAAGTCTAACTCTTTAAGACTTAAAATGTGCTTATTTGAATTGAATCATTGTAAAAGCAAAATTTCATATATACATAAATAATGGAAGACATATGGAGTGACTGAAATGACAAGTAATAAATAGTCCAATAGGTACCTACCAAGATGGCAATGTTCTTTTTCTCTTGCTTCCCATTTGTGGCTGTCTACATAGGCGGCAGAAAGCAGGCATCTTTTACCTGAAAAAGCAGGCAATTATTTCAACATGCATGGCTTTACAACAGGTTCATTTTATATGTTTTATTAAATATATCATTGCTATCCTTTCAACTACTAGATTATATATTTTTTAAAATCTAATACAATACAGCAACCAATATTGCATAGTTCACAATTCAGTTAAGAACAAAATGCATTCAACCCCTAACAAGTAGAAGATGCAGAAAAACAAAATTTTCACAACAATTTTTTAAAATAAAAATCAACAGGGTCTTGCTATAAAGCCCAGGCTGGAGTACAGTAGCTATTCACAGGCACAATCCCACTACTGATCAGCAAAGGAATTTTAATGTGCTCTGTTTCCAACCTGGTTCATCTTTCCTGAAGCAGCCTAGTAGTCCCCTGCTCCTAGAAGGTGAGTCACCATATCAATGGTGTCCACTTAGTGTGGACACTTGATCAGTATAGTGCACTACAGCCCAGGACTCCTGCACTCAAGCGATCTTCTTGCCTCAGCCTCCCAAGTAGCTAGGACTAAAGACACATACCACTGCACTATACCCATAATTTTATGGATAAAAATGCTGATAATTTTGTTCCTATAACTTTAAGACTAGAAACCACTTGTTCCTAGTAAATTATACCCCAGGGAAGCCCTAGAATGCTTTCTTAAAACCAAAAACACTTGCTGACGGTTGGGTAACTCATTAATTAAATACCTTATAATTATTATGTCTAAAAACACTTTCATCTTAGATCCGCAGGTTTAACTCATGTCACATAAAGTAAAGAGTAGCATCTTACCCAATGACCCAGCAGTCTACTGGCAAATAAAAGATACTAAGCCAAAGCTGAGTAACATACAAGACTGCATACCAGTATTCCTAGCTCCTGGCGTAATGCCTAGCCTTTGGCAATGTTTAACAAACAGGAGCTCAAGAAGTGAATGAGAAAGAATGAATGGTGAGTTCATCAAAATTTAAAACTTGTGCTTCAAAGTACAATCTCAGGAAAGTGAAAGTACAACCTAAAGAATGGGAGCAAATATTTGCAAAACATTTATCCAATACAGGACTTGTATCCAAAATATTTCAGTAACTCTTACAATTCAAAAATAAAAAAGACAAACCAAATAAAAGATGGATAAAGGATTTAAACAGATATACCTTTAAAATTATATATACAGAGGTGGGGGGATCACTTAAGCTCAGGAGTTTGAGACCAGCCTGGGAAACATGGTAAAAACCCATTTCTACAAAAAATACAAAAATTAGCCAGGCATGGTGGCATGTACCTGTAGTCCCAGCTACTTGGGAGACTGAGGCGGGAGAACTGCTTGAGCTGTGAGGCGGAGGCTGCAGTGAGTCAAGATCGTGCCACTGCACCCCAGGCTGGGCAACAGAGTGAGACTGTTTCAAAAATTAAAAAATAAAAATAAAATAAATATATATATATGTGTGTGTGTGCAGGCACAAAAACAGCCAAGTCACAATGACAGATGCTTAACATAATTTGCCATTAGAGAAATGCAGAACAAAATCACCTATAGAAACAAATGCATACTCACTACAATGACTACCATCAAAAAACAGATAATGATAGCTGTTGGGGAGGATGCAGAGAAACCAGAAACTCATACCTTACTGGAGAGAACATAAAACAGTCCAGCTGCTTTTTTTTTTTTTGAGATGGAGTTTCGCTCTTGTGACCCAGGCTGGAGTGCAATGGCGCAATCTCGGCTCATGCAACCTCCGCCTCCTGGGTTCAGGCAATTCTCCTGCCTCAGCCTCCCAAGTAGCTGGGATTACAGGCACGCGCCACCGTGCCCAGCTAATTTTTTTTGTATCTTTAGTAGAGACGGGGTCTCACCATGTTGACCAAGATGGTCTCGATCTCTTGATCTCATGATCCACCCGCCTCAGCCTCCCAAAGTTCTGGGATTACAGGCTTGAGCCACTGCGCCCGGCCGCAGCTGCTTTTTAAAGAATTTGGCAGCTCCTCAAAATGTTAACATGGAGTTATTCTATGACCCAGCGATTCCACTCCTAGGTTTACAACCAAGAAAAGTGAAAACTTGTGTCCACAGAAAATTTGTACACAAATGTTCACAGTAGTATTATTCATAATGGACAAAAAGTGGAAACAATCCAAATGTCCATCCATTGATGAACAGATAAACAAAAAGTGGCATATCCTGACAATGGAATAGTATTTGCAATAAAAAATGAAGTACTGATACATGCTACAACATGAACAAATCTTGAAAACACATTAAGTAAAAAAGATGCCAGTCACAAAAGACCAAAGATTATGATTTCATTATATGAACTATCCAGAATAGGCAAGCCTGTAGAGACAGAAAGTAGATTCACGGTTGCTTAGGGCTAGAGGTAGGGATCAGGAAAGCTAGAGGGGAAAGGGGGAGCAACTGCAAATGGGCATAGAATTTCTTTCTGGGATAATGAAAATATCCTAAAATTGATGATGACAATGGCTGCAGAACTCTGTGTTTATACTAAAACCTTTGAATTGTATACTTCATTTGTTGTTTTGTTTGTTTGTTTTTGAGACAGAGTTTCACTCTTGTTACCCAGGCTGGAGTGCAATGGTGTGATCTCAGCTCACTGCAACTTCCTCCTCCCAGGTTCAAGGGTTTCTCCCGCCTCAGCCTCCCAAGTAGCTGGGATTACAGGTACCTGCCATCATGCCTAGCTAATTTTTTGTATTTTTAGTAGAGATGGGTGATCCACCAGCCTTGGCCTCCCAAAAAGTTAGAATTACAGGCATGAGCCACCATGCCCAACCTGAATTGCATATTATATATGGAAGAATTGTATGGCATGTGAAGTATATCTCAACAACCCTGTTTTTAAAAACAGAAAAGATGACAGATAATTATGTTGAAGTCACAGCAGACCAAAAGCCTAACATTACTAGATGGCAGGGGGGCTGATTAAACACAATACTGAAATGCTTTGTTATTCTCTATCTACCTTCCAACTGAAACAAACAAATGTAAACACATCTGTGCGAATTATACATAGTCCAATCATTCCCTTATATAAGCACAGATCTTTACTACACTAATATATCTAAATCGGAGTTCTACAAATAAAATAATGAGGAAACAATAAGGTTTCCTAAGACAGTTTCAAAAGGGGAACTAAGACGATAATTACTTAATTTATTATATATATATACATATATTTTTGAGACAGTCTCGCTCTGTAGCCCAGGCTGGAGTGTAGTGGTGTAATTTTTCTTCACTGCAACCTCCGCCTGCAGGATTCAAGCAATTCTCCTGCCCAGCCTGAGTACCTAGGATTACAGGCGCTTGCCACCACACCCGGCTAATTTTTGTATTTTTAGTAGAGATGGGGTTACACCATGTTGGCCAGGCTGGTCTCAAATTCTTGACCTGCTCACTTTGGCCTCCCAAAGTGTTGGAATTACAGGCGTGAGCTACCGCATCCAGCCAGAAAAGACTATAATTATGTAAGTGCCCACATTTCAAATAGAGTGTGATTTAAAAAAAATTAGATGTTTGGAATTTAGAAGGCTTTTTCAATAGAGATAATATTATAAATTATTAGTTATATTCCTAGATCTACCAACAAAGATGGCTAAAAAGCTGATGGCATTATGTTAGGTTACATTATGATAGTTGCATGGCTGTCCACCAACTCAGAGTAAGAAGATCTGAGTTTGAGTTTTACCAGCTGTTAAAAAATTTCATATCCTACAGTTGCAAATAAAGCTAAACTATGTGATATCCTGCATCCCTGTATGCTCTGACAGTCTTATAAACAGAACCAAAAGCATTAATTCAGAGAACTCATTTATAATTGATAGTTGCATTTCTACACAAACTGAATTTCAATTCGAAAACCAAGAGGATCTCTCATTTCTGTGGGGAACAACAGCAGCCTTCTCTATGTAATAAGCATAAGTTGAGGAGAGGTGGTTAAGCTATATACAGTTGCTGCTGGATATCCATGGGGGATACTTCTAGGATACCCCCTCAGATACCAAAATCTGAGAATGCAGGAGTCTCTTACATAAAATTGCGTAGTATTTGCAAATAATCCACAAACATCCTCCTGCATTAATTTAAGTCAGGGGTGTCCACTTTTTTGGCTTCCCTGGGTCACACTGGAAGAACCATCATCTTGGACCACACATACATAAAATATACTGACACTAATGATAGCTGATGGGCTAAAAAAATTAAAAATGCTAAAAATCTCATAATATTTTAGGAAAGTTTACAAATTTGTGTTGGGCTACATTCAAAGCCGTCCTGGGCTGAGGGTTGGACAAGCTGCTTTAAGTCATCTCTGGATTTCTTATAATACCTAATACAATGTAAATGCAATGCACATGGTTGTCATACTGTATTTTTCTTTAAATATCTTTAAAAATATTGTTGTATTATTATTATTATTAGGGTTTTTTTTTTTCTTTTTTAGTATTTTTGATTTGCAGTTGGATGAATCTGCAGATGCAGAATGCTCGGAGTAAGAAGCCAACAGTACTTCTCAATCCAATGACTTGTTTATCGGGTTATCTACTTATTACTACCTCTTATTCTTTATGCCTTCATTCTAGCATATGCTTCAGTCTAGCATAAGTAGCCACCCTTCTATATTGTGGAGTCAGAAAGAACAATATCTAGATCATTGCTCAACAGTTCTGAACTGGAAGATTAAAAAGCAGGGGAGGTGATGGTGAGGAAAGACAGTACTCCCAGAAGGCCTTCTGTGTGCAGTTGTTCACGGAAACCACATGAACAGAAAATAGCTACAACAGCTAATTCTTACTAAGGTGGTAAACATTGTGCATAACTTTTCACCAGGTCAACCACTGAATCTTCAGAAAACTGGTGGCCAATTATGAGGTTTCACATTGATGTTTAATGGCTGTTCCTAAAGAAGTGTGAGCCTTGCTTTTTTTTTAAAAAAAATAGGGCATGTGAGGTAGGTTGGAAAGGGAAGATAAAAGGCACTGGAAAAATCGAGTGTGATTATTGCATTTTTTTTTTTTTTTTTTTTTTTTTGAGACGCAGTTTCGCTCTTGTTACCCAGGCTGGAGTGCAATGGCCCGATCTCGGCTCACCACAACCTCCACCTCCTGGGTTCAGGCAATTCTCCTGCCTCAGCCTCCTGAGTAGCTGGGATTACAGGCACGAGCCACCATACCCAGCTAATTTTTTGTATCTTTAGTAGAGACGAGGTTTCATCATGTTGGCCAGGATGGTCTCGATCTCTTGACCTCGTGATCCACCCGCCTCGGCCTCCCAAAGTGCTAGGATTACAGGCTTGAGCCACCGTGCCTGGCCGATTATTGCATTTTTATCAAATTATCAAATACATCTGTCTGGATTATGTGGTTAGAATCACTGCCAATTTGGCTTTTGTAAATACTTTAAAACTTTTTGGCCCAGAGTGGTGGCTGACGCCTGTAATCCCAGCACTTTGGGAGGCTGTGGCGGGTGGATCACCTGAGGTCTGGAGTTCGAGACCAGCCAGATCAACATGGAAAAAACTCTACTAAAAATACAAAATCAGCTGAGCGTGGTGGCACATGCCTGTAATCCCAGCTACTTGGGAGGCTGAGGCAGGAGAATTGCTTGAACCTGGCAGGCAGAGGTTACCAGTGAGCTGAGATAGCACCTTTGCACTCCAGCCTGGGCAACAAGAGCGAAACTCAGTCTCAAAACAAACAAACAAATTTTCCCAATGTTTTCATTATCAGATCCAGTATGCAGGCTTTGAGTGGGCTGCCATTTCTTTCAGATATCAAAGTACTTTGCGAGTAACTATTAGCATGTATTGTCTACACGTGAAAAACTAGCCAAGAAAAGTCAAAAGTTGTGCTCAAGATCATCATATAAAATGATATAAAATAAAATTAATATTGAAAAATGATTCCACGAAGACCAGGGGTCTGACTAAATGTGAGGTGGTGGGGGAAAATGCTTATCTAAAGTCCCTCCAAAGAAACCTCAGAAGGGAGAAAAACTTCACGACCTCAGGAATTTACGTTTTTCTTTTCTTCCTTTTTTTTTTTTTTTTGAGACAGTGTCTCGCTCTGTAGTCCAGGCTGGAATGCAGTGGCCCTTATTTCTGCTCACTGTAACCCCCGCCTCCCGAGTTCACGCGGTTCTCCTGCTTCAGCCCACCCCCCACCCCGCCCCGAGTAGCTAGGATTACAGGCGCGTGCCACTACGCCCAGATAATTTTTTTTGTATTTTTTAGTAGAGATGTGGTTTCGCCATGTTGGCCAGGCTGGTCTCGAACTCCTGGCCCTAAGAGATCCGCCCGCCTCGGACCTCCAAAGTGCTGGGACTACAGGCGTGGGATACTGTGTCCGGCACACATTTGGGTTTTTTCGTAGTCATCAAAAAGACGACCACCCCAACACATAAATCTGGTGAATCATATGCAAATTCCCTCATGTCACAACCTTCCACTGCTCTTCATACCTTTGGACAGGCACACACTGTTATTTTAGGGGAGGAAATGGATCAGAGAACTTAGTCTCCTTTTTCTGCGCTACCAAACACCCCAAATGGCTTCCCTAGCAATCAGATTCCAGAAACATTTTCTCTTCTCTTGAAAACCCACCGCTCCCTTCACTCAAGAACAGAATAATCAAGCGCCTTAATGAAGCTGTCCCGCCAACCTGCAGGGAAGAGCTGAGACGGAACCACTTGCCGCGCCAGGAGAATCCCGCACCGCACCATGGAGGCAACCATCTTGGAGCGTACCAAAAGGAAGGAACGGGGGCTTACGGACAGAGGAAGGGGCGGGGTTACAGCTCGACCTCTGGGGCGCCCAGAATTGGACGAATCCCGTTCGTCGCCCTCGGCGTCAGGACCGATGCTCCGCCTCCTCGCCCCGGTTCCAGCAGTTGGTATGGTCCGTGACAGTATGGCTGCGGCACTTCGTCCTGGCAGTGGAGTTCTCCTGCAGGCCCTGCAGATTTCGGTGTATCCTGGGGTGGGAGGCTCCGGCTCTGCCTGCTGCCGCTGCCCTCTCGGAGGTATCGGCGGCCTTAGCCCAGGGAAGGAGGGGCGAGATGGGAAAGAAGGGAGTATTAGACCCCAGCTAGCATCTCTTTAGAGCTCCTAAGTCACTCACTGGCCTGGAGCTCATCCTTTCTATCTAGTTGTACGTGGATTCAGTGGTGGCCCAGAATTGGGGTCGTGGTTACCCCCAATGCTTGCAAATCGAAGGATGGCTGGGGTCTTGACCTTGGGGCTGTAGTACTCCTTTAGATGGGGCGACGTTGCTCTTCTGGAACACCCCTCCTACCTTGGGTGACATTTCTCTTTTTCTTTCTTTTCTTTTTTTTTTTTTTTTGAGACTAAGTTTCGCTCTGTCGCCCAAGCTAGAGTGCAGTGGCGCGATTTCAGCTCACTGCAACCTCCGCTTCCCGGGTTCAGGCGATTCTCCTGCCTCAGCCTCGAGTAGCTGTGACTACAGGCGCGCGCCACCATGCCTGTCTAATTTTTGTGTTTTTGGTAGAGACGGGGTTTCACTAAATCGGCCAGCCTAGTCTCGAACTGCTGACCCCGTGATCCACCCGCCTCAGCCTCCCCAACCAAGTGCTGGGATTACAGGCGTGAACCACCGCGCCCGGCCTTTCTTTTTCTTTTCTGCAGTTTGGGAGCAGAGGTCTTATTGAGTCTCAGTTTTGCTAAAAATCTAAAAGACCTTTAGCATGTTTCTTCATTTTTCAAAACTATCCTTTAACATCTCTGTGAAAAAAATTAAATTAGAAAATGCTAGTGAGTGACGGTAAAAATATTTAAGTGTCAGGCCTTATTTTAATGTATTTTACATACATTAATTCCTTTTCTCTAGACAACACCCAGCAAGAGAAGTACCATTCTTTTCTCCATTTACAGAGAAGGAACAAGGTTAAGTAATTTTCCCAAGGTCAGAGGGAACTGGTAGAGGCGGGACTTGAACACAGCCAACAATAGAGACCTGTTCCTAACCACTTCACTGGACTGCCTGTCTGTAAATAAATAGCAATTTTTATTGTTCCCTTGTTATTGCAGCTCACAGAACTCTTGGTGTATGATTCTTTGGCCAAGCTTAGTCCGTTTTATGTCATGCACAGCTGAGGATCCTAAAGAAAGGATGATGGCTCCCAAACTACTCAGCTGTTATCAGTGATTTCCCTGCATTTCAGATGTGTTTCAAGTTCACATCCGACAGGCCTTAACCCTCATTTCACAGAAGACAAAACTGAGAGTTCCACTGGTCACACTGCAGCCTTTTCCACTACACTATGCTTCTCCCTGGATAAACCAAAACTAAATATGCCTGTTTTACATTTAAATGTTAGTTATTGGGTTTTTTTTAATGCCCTTGTTACCCTTTAATCAAATGGCAAATGTCTATTTGTACTTCAAATCCCAACTTCCTGTCAACCAGTCCCCACACGGTTTTGCGCACACAAGTAAAACCTCTTTTGGTGAGGATTTGCATTCTCTGGTAGTCCAGAAATGTTTTTTCCCAGGGGTTACTGTCACCTGTCTAATGAATTATTTATAATAGGTGAAGATAAGATCAGTTAATCAGAGAGAGTCAAGCTCTACTCATGTTATTTGCTAACTTTTAAAACAGTCAAAATGACTTTACTTTTTTCTCTGGTTTTTAGCTAAAAGATACCTACTTACAGATAACATTGTGAAACTAAAAGAATTTCAGCATAAGAAAGTGGCCATTGCATGTAATCTTCCTGGCACGAAAGGTAATAGAATCTATTTTGTTAATTCTGTCATCCGTCATTTATGTTTCTCTGTCTTCATCCCTATTCAGTGTCTCCTTCAGTGATTTTATTATGCCTTAGAAAAAGTTGAGACCATTTATATTTAGTTTCATAGTGTGCTCTTATATGCAGCTCATATCTCAGTTTGCTACTACAAAGTCTACAGCTCTCCTCTTAGCCCTTTTCTTACGATCCCAGAGAAATACTAAAGCTCGTGCTGCCATTGGTCCTGTCTAGATCTATGCCAATTAAACTATGGTTTGAGGACAAGCAGCATCAGCATCTGTTGGGTTGTTGATAGAAATACAGATAGAAAGGCCCCAGTTCATTCATATGCACAAAAAGTTTAAGAACTTCCGATGATTGGCTTTGAAACTTCAATGTAACCTTCAGTGAAAATGCATTTTCTGTTGCATCTCAATACACACATACATATCTATATATAAATGAAATCAAATGAAACAAAACAGTAATGTGTGTGATGGTACTTTTTGATATTTTTCACTCTGTGCTAGAAGTCAGTAGGATCAAAAATTTCTTAAAAAAAAGAAGAGAGAAACCTGACCGTCAAACCTAGGATTTCGCGGGGCATCGAGGCTCATGCCTGTAACTCCAGCACTTTGGGAGGCCAAGACAGGAGGATTGCTTGAGCCAAGGAGTTTGAGATCAGCCTGAGCAGCATAGACCCCCATCTCTACAAATTTTTTTAAAGTGAGCTGGGTGTGGTGGTGCATGCCTGTAGTCACAGCTACTCCTGAGGTTGAGGTGTGAGGATTGCTTGAGCTGAGGTCTAAGGTGCAGTGAGCCATGATCATACCACTGCATTCCAACCTGGGTGCCAGAGTGAGACCCTGTCTCAAAAAAAAGAGAAATCTGGGATTTGCTTTGGGAAAAAAAACAAAACAAAACAGTGTGTCTGGAGATTGTGAGTAGAGGAAACATAAATAGCAAAATATTGATAATTATTGAGGCTGGATAATGGCACTTAGGGGTATTATTATACTGTTCTTTCATTTCTTGGATATGTTTGAAGATTTTTGTTATAAAAAACTAGAAACACAAGAACACCACCCCTTGCTACTTTTCAGCACCTGAGAAATCTTGTTTCATTCATTCTCTCCCTCCTGCACAGAGCTCTTCCCAGCATTTTAAACCCATTTATTGAGTATGGGTGCAGCAGTGGTCCCTGGGAGTTGTGGATGCACCCCATTGATCCCCAGTTATGAACACATCAAGACTTTCTTTTAATAACTCTTGGTGTCTCTGTTGACTTTTTCATCCATGGACCCAGCTCTCCTTCCTCTCACTGGCAGATGTTTATGAGCTGATTAACATATTAACATTCTCTTTACTTTGTTTTTTTTTAAGAGACAGGGTCTCGCTCTGTAACCTAGGTTGGAGTGCAGTTGGTGCCATCGTAGCTCACTGCAGCCTCAAACTCCTGGATTCAGGCAATCCTCCTGCTTTAGCCTCCTGAGTAACTAGGACTACAGCGCCACCGTGCCTGCCTAATTTTTAGTTTTTTAGAGGCAGGGTCTCACTGTGTTGCCTAGGCTAGTCTCGAACTCCCAGGCTCAAGCTGTCCTCCCACCTCAGTCTCCTAAAGTACAGGCGTGAGCCACTGAACCCATCCTGACACCTTCTGTCTCCATTTCCTCACAATTCAGTTCTCCAGAAATCAGTGTTCTCTCGCTGCTCCACTAAACATACTGTTATGTAACACCACATATGGGACAAAAAAATAAACGTTTGGAATGTGGGGAATATATTTATCCCCAGGTTAGTAGATTCAATCTAGATTTCACTTATCTTTTCTTTCTACCGCAGGTATTTTAGATATTTGTGAGGTTTGCAGTCAGGGCTTTATGCCATCCACTTGCGATTTCCAATTGTTGTATTCTCCATAAGGTTGTGGCAGTTGTGTACAGGTTCTGGAAGGCAATTAATCTAATCATTGCCAATCTGCTCTGTTGTCAGGCTGATACATTTAAAATCCTGTTAACCTTTCAAAATTTTGAGATCCCACAGTGGTACTCTGTTGTATACCACACCATTAATGTCCTCATCCCTCTGGCATCCTGGCTGTTTTATAATGGACTCCATCCTTTCTAGAGTTCAGCATGGTTTCTGGTTCATCTATCACGGCTCTTCCCTCCACACCTTTCACTCCCAATTCTCTTCTGTCACTCATGCTGATTCCCATACCTAGAATGCCTCCCTCCTCCATTTCTCCAATCCAATTCAGCCTTTTTTTTTTTCTCACTGGCACCCCTCCACTTTCACCAGCCTGGTCTGTCCTGAGTCATAATAGTAAAGGTTGTAATAGGACCCTTCTGCCCACTCTGAGTTATACTAGGTATCACAACAGGACAGAAGAGTCCTATTAAGTTTCCAGTCATTCCTGTGTCACCTCCTCCATTACTCCATTATTGTTTTCAGGTAGCTTTGTGTAAGTAGAGCTTTTGCCTTCCTAAATAGGCTTGAAGTTCTTTGAGGGCAGGAACTGTTCCTTATCCTTCTTGGTGTCTCACACACAAAGAAGGATACTTCTGAGTATGATTATATGATACATACTTAAATGTTGATTGATTTGTTTTAAAACACAATTTACGTCTGTTGAAATTTTGGATTCTTGTTTTTTTTTTTTTTTTCCTGAGATGGAGTCTCACTCTGTCACCCAGGCTGGAGTGCGGTAGCGCGATCTCAGCTCACTACCTCCTCTGCCTCTCAGGTTCAGATGATTCTCGTACCTCAGCCTCCCCATCAGCTGGGATTACATATGTGAGCCATCATGCCTGGCTACTACTTTTCGTATTTTTGGTAGAGAGGTGGGTTTCACCATGTTGGTGAGGCTGGTCCCGAACTTCTGACCTCAAGTGATCTGCCCACCTCAGCCTCCTAAAGTGCTGGGATTACAGGCATAAGCCACTGCACCTGGCCTCTTAAGGTTTATTAAGAAGGATTAAGAGGTACAAGATGTAATGTCATCTCTTTGATGACTTTAGACTTTTTAGATTGGAAGTCACTTAAAAATATTTAATAGCCAAAATCCTCATAGATCTGACAGAAGGAATGAAAATAAGAACGATAATGTTTCTATTTACTGGCAGTTACCATATGGCAAATGCTTTACATAGATCATCTCAGGTAACCCCATGAGGAAGGTACCACGATCCTTAATTTACACATGAGGAATCAAGTCTCACAGACAAGAGTCTCCATCAGAGTGCAAGTAGCCGAGCTTAGATTTCAGCCCAGGTGCTTCCATCTCTAGAGCTTGTAACTGTTACGTGGTACTGCAAATAAAAATGGGAAGATCCACTGCATTACCTCAAACGTAGTGGGTCTTTCCTTGCAAATCGAGAAGAATGCCTCTGCTCTAGTTCTTGTATTTTAGATGTATTTGTGCCTCTCCTTTCAGCAGCATTCCTTCATAGCTCTGGGCTTTGGAACAAATCCTATAACTATTTCCTGGCAGCTTCTGATACTGACAACAGTTCTGCCTTCTGGAAAGCAGATGCTTGCTTGGTGCCTGCTTTGCTTTTCACCCCACATTTTGGTGGGAATACAGCCCCTTCTTGATGCCAAGAAGAGGTGCTTCCTTTTGGTTTTTGTCCCCACAGTTGATCAGATACAAAGACAAGGGAGAATGATAGACTGTAATGATGCTGAAATGATTCTGTCACTAAAAAACTGTTTGCTGCTGTTTGGAGGCTTGTTTTCCCCCCTGCCCATTGCATGGTACTTGAGCATACTTTCTAACAGCTGAGTAGAAAGAAACTAAGAGGAATGAAAATGAGGTAAAGTTGAATCAAATGAAAGAAGCATGAGTCATGTGAGTCCACCATTGTGGACAAACCTACCTTCAACTCACATTTTCTTTTTTGTTATCCTGTGTGGCTCTCTGCCAATTGATGGTTTGAGTGTCTGGCTACATATTTTTTCTTTTTTCTCATGAAACACCTGGAGATTCAGTTACTTGAGCCAAGCCCCTGGGACAGTAGTTCTCAAACTTCAGTATACTAGAGGATTACCTAGGGAATCAAAAATGCCAATTCTTGAGCTCTTACCCCAGAGATTTTATTTTACAGAGTCTTGAGTGCGCCTGGCCCTGTGCCCATGCCCCAGCTTCCTATGACAAATGCCATCTGCTGACACTTTTCTAGAGGAGATTAGCCAGTGATGGCAGCTGCATGTCCCTGAGCCCCTCTCAGTGCCCTTTTGCCGTGAGCTGGGGTTGGGCTTCCCCATCTTTCCTAGGTCAGACTCCTTATACTCCCAGTCAACCTGAGTGATGACCACCATACTGTGCTTTCTTCCAGAAACCTATTTTAGAAACTTGGAAGAGAAACTGAGCCAGAACAAGCTCATCTTGAAGGAGGAATTGATAACCTTACTTCATTTGTGTGAGTCCCGGGACCATGTGGAGCTGGCTAAAAATGTCATTTACAGGTGAGGTGTTTCCTTAGAATGCTGCCAGCCTCATCACTTCTTAATCTGTTCCTTTCTGTGAGCAGTCTCATCCACTTCCAAGATTTTGCCACTTCTGCATCGATGACTTTCAAATCTCTTGTTCAGATGCCTGCTTTGAATCCAGACACTTACATTCACTCATTGAGCACAACTTACTGGGTTCCTACTATATGCTGGGTGCTAAGGATAGATAAGCAGATATTTTATGTCTAAAGAAGTTACCAGCCTATTCACTAACTCCACTGACATATCCCCTAGGTCTCAAAGTCAACATGTGCAAATTCACTCCTCTTCCTCTGTTTTCCTTCTCACTGGCTAGTCACTCAGGATAGATACTTTGCAGCCTCTTTACTTTCATTTGCCTCTGTTTCTTGATAGGGTAAGAAATCCTGTTGCTTCCACTTCCTTGGTATCTCCCTCAGCACCAGCCCTGCTCTTTCGCTCCTATTACCAATGTCTTAGTTCAGGCTTTAATGTCTTTCACCTGAATCCTTTCAGTGGCCCTAACTATTCTCCCTCCTCCAGTACTGCTATACCTTTCTGATCCATTATTAAAAGTTTCCCATGTCAGAAGGAACTCACGTGTAAGCATACCCTGCTACTGGGAAAGCTAGTGAAGGCTTCACTTACCAGGGAGCAGTATGACGTCAAATCAACAGACTTCATTTCTGAAATGAACTTCATTGCTCTTTTCCACTTTTTAAAAACGATTTTCATTTTCTTCCTTTTTTTTTTTTTTGAGATGATTCTTGATCTGTTGCCCAGAGTACAATTGCATGATCTCTCAGCTCACTGCAACCTCCACCTCCGGGTTCAAGCAATCCTCCCTGTCTCAGCATCCCAAGTAGCTGGGATTATAGGTGCCTTCCACCATGGCTGGCTAATTTTCATAGTTTTAGTAGACATAGGGTTTTGCCATGTTGCCCAGGCTGGTCATGAACTCCTGGACTCAAGTGATCCGCCCGCCTCCGCCTCCCAGAGTGCTAAGATTACAGTCATGAGCCACCATGGCTAGCCCTCCTTTCCATTTTTTAAAGATCTGTTTCTGTACGTGAACCTGGATTTTATATGTACATTTATAGAGAGAAATACAGGATAATCATATAAAGAATACTAGGAGATTAGTATTCAACAAGAGTTAACTGTGATTCTCTGGGAATTATAGATTATGTATTTTTTGTTTGTCTAAATGTATATTTTTCTGATTTCTCAAACTTGTCTACAGTGAACATTTTATAACATGAAAAAATGTCTTTAAGTTAAAAAAAGTTTAAAAATCATTGAAAAATTGAAAAACACCAAAAAGTAGAAAGGAGAAATATATCACAAATTCTGCTGTTTCAGTTGTCTGTTGCTGCATAACAAACCACACCAGAACTTAGTGGCTTAACACAGCAACTGTTCATTAATTCTCCTAATTCTGGGATCAGGAATTGAGGTTCATCTCCACTGAGCAGTCCTTTGTTGGTGTCAGATGAAGCCACTCACTTATCTGCAGTCAGCTGGCAGCTGGGCTGTACTGCATGGTCCAAGAAGGCCTCTCTTGAGTTTGTGATGCCTCATTGCTCCTCCATGTGGCCTCTCCCTACCTTTCTGGAGTGCCTCATCATTTATTTGTTGGTTTGAGCTGCATTGGCCCACAGCCCAGATGGGAGCTGCCAGGCATGATAGAGTTGCCCAGAATTGGCGTGGCTTCTCTTGGTCAAGGCAAGATACCTGGCCAGACCCAAGTCAAGGGGAGGGGAAAAGGATTCCACCTCTGGATTAATGGAGCCATATGCATATACAGGGAGGGAAGGAATTGAAGACGGCCATCTTTGGGGCCTGCTGCTTACATCTAAGAAATTACTGTTGAGATTTTTGCATTTTTTTTTTCACAGATGCAAAGATTTCATTATTTTGGTAGATTTTATTTTACATTGTTATAATTATTTCCGTGTAATTATTTTCTAAATTAATATAAATATTTTTCCTTGTTAATCATATCCTTTGGAGTCATAGTTTAATGACAATACAGTATTTCATTGTACGTTGGATATTTTCATTAACCATGCCCATATTGTTGGACATTGAAATTATTTCTAATTTTTCACTGGTATAAATAATGTCACGATGAGAAACTCTCTGCATAAACTTACTGTTTGTTTCCTTTTGGGGATCAGGGGGTATGAACTTTTTAAAATTTATCAATATAACTGTCATATTATTTTCCAAAAGTGTTATGCTGATTTGAAGTCACACTATATCTGCAAACTTAATTCTATATTTCAGTTTCACAAAGCTAAATCATTTTTCTCTGGCATGTTTTCTTCTCATACATTTTACTACACAAAGCTATTTGATGTTTATAAGAGTAGTAAAATGAGATAAATATTCTGAACACTCTTTCTACTCTTACTTTTATCTTAAATATTCAAAGTGTGACTCAGTTCCTTTACTGATGCTACTAACTCTCAACCCAGTTGCTGACCTTTCCCTCTCTGCTTTCAGACAGCTGGACAAGATGGGTAGATCCAAGGCTCAACCAACATGTTCTCTTTCTTCCTGGGTCAGGCAGCCCACGACTGGGAAAGGAGAGTCATGAGCTGAAACATAAGCTTTTTATTGAGCCAAAAATGGGAAACGTCTTAATACCCTCATTGTGTTGACCAAATGCTGTTTGGTTTATTGAGGGATTTTAGATCCTCTTCAACATTTCTTGCCCAGAAGGCAATTCATTATCTCAGTGACTTTCTAGCACTTTTATTAATGTGAATGTCATTTAGAATGTTAATGTCAAATCAGAAAACTTGTTTTTGCTTTCTTTTGCTTTTAATCTGGCACAAGTTTCTCATGAGAATATTTACTGAAATATGTTGATTTTTAAAGATGTTTTTCTTAGCATGACTTACATTTTATAAGAGCTAACATATGTTGAAGACTTGTGTGCCAGACATATCATCTCATTTAATCTTCACACACACAAAAAACACTGATTGGGTTCTCCCTTCCATTTTACAGATGAGGAGACGGGGCAGAGAGTAGTTAATTAATTTGCTTATGGTCACACAGTTTATAAATAGAAGAGCTAGGACTTGAATGATCAGTTTGGATTCAGAGTCTAAAAACCCTTTACCACTATTCTATATTGCCTTCTAACAACTTAATTTATAAGTGTTGTAATGAAGCAGTAAATATTATTTGTAAGTTCCGTAAGTGGATTAAGAAATGTATCAAAGTACACATCATCATCCTATTATAGTATGGTTGTGGTACATGTGTTTAGAATAGACTAGCGTAATGCTACTCTGATTCCTTGATGATTTTAGCAGAAGGTAAAAAGCATTCTGTTTTGTCAGCACTTTTCTGCAAGGTATTTTAGATTCATTCATCATATTAATCTAAATCTAAAAGGAATATGAATACGAAGATTTATAATGAGGACATCTTTCTAAAATCTGATTTACATGTTATGAAGTGTTCCTTTTGTCACATATTGTCCTCTTGGTGTCTAAAACAAAAAGAATTGGTTATTGAAAGTAAATTTACAGTAGTGATATGCAGTTCTGACCGGCAGGCTGGCTGCCTGTAGAAGTCTCAAGCCACATAGAAGACATCATTGTCTTTGACATTAGCTTTTTCTTAAAAGTTCAGGCCAGGTGTTGTGGCTCACCCCTGTAATCCCAGCACTTTGGGAGGCCAAGGTGGACAGATCACAAGGTCAGGAGTTCAAAACCAGCCTGGCCAACATAGTGAAACCCCGTCTCTACTAAAAATGGAAAAATTAGTTTGGCATGGTGGCGTGTGCCTATAATCCCAGCTACTCAGGAGACTGAGGCAGGAGAATTGCTTGAACTGGGATCCATAGGCAGGGGTTGCAGTGAGCCAAGATTGTGCTACTGCATTCCAGCCTGGGCTACAGAGCAAGCCTCCATCTCAAAAAAAAAAAAAAAATTCAAAACCACATTTAACTTGTTTAGCCAGGTGATCGTAGCTCTTGTGTACCTTTCCCAAACTTAGAAAAGCAGAGAGATTGCTATAAATTGTAAATGTGTCTGTTGGTTGTCTGCCATCCTATATGAGGATGAAGCCAGCCTCCAGGAGCATAGAGCATCACCCCACTCCTTTCCTTTGTTCTCTGTGTGGGCCCTATTCTGATGCACTTATAGATGCTACTAGACTCCTGCTGTTTCCTAAGTTGTGCTCACACTCAGTCTCAGGGTTGTTTTTAAATTTAGAGAATGATTACAACCCTCTGTTTCTTTTGTTTTATGTCAGCCTGCTATAAACTCTGCTTATTTGTTTAAATGCTTGGTATACTTCTGCACTCCAGGATTCTTGATGCTTGGAAATCTCCACTTCTCCCCATCCAGACTGTGAGAGAACATCATTCTCTATTGTGTCCCAACACCTGGCACAGTACATGCTGCAGTCTGTGTCTGTACTTTTTCCTGTTTCCTACCTTTTGGCTCATTGAATCATTTTGATTACCAGGTACCATGCAGAGAACAGAAATATCACTCGTGGGGAGTATAAGTTCGGACCACTTTTCATGAGGCTGTGTTACGAGTTGGATCTTGAGGAATCCGCAGTGGAGCTCATGAAAGACCAGGTTATTGTTTCCTAATTGTTTTCTGTGCCAATGTGTGTGTTTTTTGTGATATTGGAAAAGGCATCTCTTCCATGCACATTATTCCTGGGTTAGATTTTCAAAGAAAGGCTGCTGGGCTGAATGAATAAGTACTTCCCTGCATTTTTTAGTTTCCTTGCAGTCAGTTTGTGTGAAGAGGGTTAGAGTGATATAGAACAAGTGTGGAAGAGGTATAGGTACAGATGATCCTACTTTGGATGTGTGTCAGCATGGGTTATATACCTACTCTTTCACGGGCTTTCAATAAAGAAGAGCTTAACACAGCCTCCATTTAAAGACTGACATTTCTATCCTTTACCTTTGTTCCCTCTTTATTTTCTATTTGTATTTTTCTAATTGAAGACTACATTTGGAAAGTACTTTTCCGTTTTCAAAATACTTTCACATATTCTGACTTTCTTTTCCCTAAAACAAATGTAAATAAAAATTTTTACAGCTACTCATTGAATATTTACTATGTTTTCAGCATTGTATTTAAGTACTTTAAATGTTTCATTTTATTTGTTTCCCACAATACCCTGATGAGGTACATTCCCATTTTGCAGATAAAGAAACTGGTACCTAGAGACATTATAAATTCATTCATTCATTCATTATAAAGTCATTTCGATTACCAGATACCATGCAGAAAACAGAAACATCACTTTGGGGGAGTGTAAGCTTAGACTGCTTTTCATGAGGTTGCAGTTCCCATAATCAGAAATAATTGCTAAATTTTGGGCCCACGGCTGGTCACCAGGTACATTTTTGTGTATTTAGGAACTTATAAGATGAGTTGTTCTTCTGCTTCTTACACTTTCTTTTAAAAAATAAAAAATAAAAAAATACTGTATTTACTTAGAAGCATTTAGCATGTCAACAAAACAGCTGCAACTTTTTTTTTGGCAATTACAGAATGATACTCAGTTAACAGAACAATATTTCATATAAGCTGCATCAGACTGAAGATGATAAAACTGCCATCCCCGTATATAACTAGTTTGTGCTGTGTACCGACAACAACCTGCTACAAATTTCCAGGCCAATTTGCAGCCCCCGTACTATACCAGGCATGGTTAGTGGCTGTCAAAAATACCGTCAGGACAGGGATATCTAAAGACACATTCAGTAGTGTGTTAACTATACAAAAAAAGACACTGTACAGTTTAAAAACAAATCTTAACACAGCCTTACATTTCAATTTTCTTCTTTAAAAAGAGTGAATTGTGAGCAGGAGGGTTAGATGCTTTATAGACAAGAAAAAACTGCACTAGAACCAACTTTTTCATCATCTTCATCTTCCTCTTCATCCTCTTCATCTTCTTGTCTTCCTCCTCTTCCTTCTTTTTCTTGCTTTTTACAGCCTTGACAACTCCCTTTATTGCTACATCAGGGTTTCCTTTATCTCGATATACAGCAGTATCCTTTTCATATTTTTCCTTCAGCTTCACAGTCTTCTTTTCATAAGGCTGCTTGTCACCTGCAGCAGTATCATTCCACATCTCTCCCAGTTTCTTTGCAATATCACCAATGGACAGGCCAGGATGTTCTCCTTTGATTTTGGGGTGATACTCAGAGCAGAACAGGAAAAAGGCTGAAGGAGGCCTCTTGGGTGTGTTGGGATCCTTGAACTTCTTTTGTCTCCTCTTTAGGAAGGATATAGGTTTTCATTTCTCTTTTATAACAGGCCTTTCTGCCTTTGCTATATCTTCATATTTTTTTCTTCTCTTTAGCAGACGTGGACTTCCACCTCTCTGAGCACTTCTTAGAAAAGGAAGGAGTGAGGAATTGACTGAAGCATCTGGGTGCTTCTTAAGCTTCCCCTGAGAAGTTTGCACAAAAAATGCATATGATGACATTTTGCCTGTCGACTTCTTAGGATCTCCTTTGCCCATGTTTAGTTATTTTTCCTCAGCGAGGCACAGGGTCAACCAGTGCCCATCTGGCTCTCACTTGCCCCAGCACTGCCTCTGTGGAGCTGAATGTACTTCAGTCTCTTACTCTTTTTTTATACAAAGTGTTCTCTGTACATGGTGGACATGTTAACTCTAGGCTTGCCCTCTTTAATGACACCTGTGTATTAGAAAGATGATCAAGATATATTAGTAAGCAGAGAAAAGATAGTCTCAGAACAGTACAGATAGTTTGATCCTGTTTTTTTTCCTAAAAAAAAAATAGACACATATTAACATTAACATTTTAACAAAATATAGATACATATATGCTGGAAAGATATACACTAAATCACTGTATCTTTAGGGAGTAGAATTATTAAAAATTCTCACTTTTTATTTTATATGTTTTTGTATTATTTGACTATAAACATAATGTTGCAATTAAAGGAAATCAAGTTTCCTGCTTAATAAATCAGCCATGACTATGATGATAAAAACAAAACTATAAAAGAAAGACGAAAGCAAAGGGTTTTTTTTTAGCTTACTTATATGAAAAATTCATGTATAAGTTTTCTGGAGTAGAGTGAGCAAATTCGAGTAAGTGACAGAGGACCTAATCCTGCTTGTACTAGAAGTTGTTATATTCACTACTTAAAACCCTGTAGTGTTATCAGCATGGTAGCCACATGAATCATTGAACTGTGGCTAAGTCAACTTTACATGTGCTTTAAGTATAAAATATATGATGGAGTTTAATTACTTGGTATAAAAAAGAGAATGCAGCCTGGGCATGGTGGCTCACGCCTGTAATCCCAGCACCTGGGGAGACCAAGGAGGGCAGATCACCTGAGGTCGGGAGATAGAGACCAGCCAGACCAACCTGTCTCTACAAAATACACAAAATTAGCTGGGCATCGTGGTTCATGCCTGTAATCCCAGCTACTCAGAGGCTGAGGCAGAAGAATTGCTAGAACCTGGAAGGCAGAGGTTGCAGTGAGCTGAGACCACGCCATTGCACTCCAGCCTGGGTGGGCAACAAGAGTGAAACTCTGTCTCAAAAAAAAAAAAAAAATAGAATCCAATGTATGTTAATAATTTTTATATTGATTACATGTTGAAATTACATCTTGGATATAGTGGGTTAAATTATTTAGTCTATTTCTGTTTACTTTTTTCTTTTTTTTTGTTAACTCTGTGTGTGTGTGTATATTTTATTGCACTTTAGGTTCTGGGGTTCATGTGCAGAAGATGCAGGATTGTTGCATAGGTACCTACATGGCAATGTGGTTTGCTACCTCCATCCCCCCGTCACCTATATCTGGCATTTCTCTCCATGTAATCCCTCCCCAACCTCCCTACCACACGATGTCCCAACCCTAATCCCCCCGCAACAGACTCCAGTGTGTGATGCTTCCCTCGCTGTGTCCATGTGATCTCATTGTTCAACACCTGCCTATGAGTGAGAACATGTGGTGTTTGATTTTCTGTTCTTGTGTCAGTTTGCTGAGAATGATGGTTTCCAGGTTCATCCATGTCCCTACAAAGGACACGAACTCAATGTTTTTTATGGCTGTGTAGTATTCCATGGTGTATATGTGCCACATTTTCCTTGTCCAGTCTATCATCGATGGGCATTTGGGTTGGTCTCAGGTCTTTGCTATTGTAAACAGTGCCACAGTGAACATATGTGTGCATGTGTCCTTATAATAGAATGATTTATAATCCTTTAGAAATATACCCAGTAATGGGATTGCTGAGTCAAATGGAATTTCTATTTCTAGGTCTTTGAGGAATTGCCACACTGTTTTCCACAATGGTTGAACTAATTTACACTCCCACCAACAGTATAAAAGTTTTCCTGTTTCTCCAGCCCTCTCCAGCATCTGTTGTCTCCAGATTTTTTAGTGATCACCATTCTAACTGGCCTGAGATGGTATCTTAGTGTGGTCTTGATTTGCATTTCTCTAATGACCAGTGATGAGCATTTTTTCATGTTTGATGGCCTTATGAATGTCTTCTTTTGAAAAGTGTCTGTTCATATACTTCATCCACTTTTGAATGGGTTTGTTTGTTTTTTTACTTGTAAACCTGTTTTCGTTCCTTGTAGATTCTGGATATTAGCCCTTTGTCAGATGGGTAGATTGCAAAAATTTTTTCCCATTCTGTTGGTTGCCGATTCACTCTAATGATGGTTTCTTTTGCTGTACAGAAGCTCTGGAGTTTAGATCTCATTTGTCTATTTTGGCTTTTGTTGCCAATGCTTTTGGTGTTTTAGTCATGACGTCCTTGCCTATGCCTATGTCCTGGATTGTTTTGCCTAGGTTTTCTTCAAGGGTTTAAGCCTTTAATTCATCTGGAGTTAATTTTAGTGTAAGGTGTCAGGAAGGGGTCCAGTTTCTGCTTTCTGCACATGGCTGGCCAGTCTTCCCAAGGCCATTTATTAAACAGGGAATCCTTTCCCCATTGCTTGTTTTCGTCAGGTTTGTCAAAGATCAGATGGTTGTAGATATGTTGTGTTGCCTCCGAGGACTCTGTTCTGTTCCATTGGTCTATATCTCTGTTTTGGTACCAGTACCATGCTGTTTTGATTACTATAGCCTTGTTGTATAGTTTAAAGTCAGGGAGCATGATGCCTCCATCTTTGTTTTTTTTGCTTAGAATTGACTTGGCTATGTGGGCTCTCGTCTGGTTCCATATGAAGTTCAAGGTGGTTTTTTCCAGTCCTGTGAAGAGGGTCATAGGTTGCTTGATGAGGATAGTGTTGAATCTATAAATTACTGTGGGCAGAAGGGCCATTTTCACAATATTCATTCTTCCTAACCATGAGCATGGAACGTTTTTCCGTCTGTTTGTGTCCTCTCTTATTTTCTTGATCAGTAGTTTGTATTTCTCCTTGAAGAGGTCCTTTACATCCTTTGTTGGTTGTATTCCTAGGTATTTTATTCTCTTTGTAGCAATTGTGAATGGCAGGTCGTTCTTGATTTGGCTCTCTTTAAGTGTGTTATTGGTGTATAGGAATGCTTGTGATTTCTGCACATTGATTTTGTATCCTGAAACTTTGCTGAAGTTGCTTATCAGTTTCAGGAG